AAAGAGACAGGGAGAAATGTCAAAAGGAATTGAGCAGTAAGTATTTTCAACAACGTCCCAGAAAAGGAATAAGTTCTGCTTTTCCCCAGAAAGAAGAGTGAGACGCAGGCTACTAAATAATTCAAAACCTAAGAAGTTGCTTCAAGTCAGTTCTGTTGCAAATTTTTTCCTTAATCCCAAAGGGCAAGAGATTGCACACTGATCCTGGAGAGCTGGTAACTATCTCAGAGATATGTTCTTCTACTTAGAGTTTAATATTCAAATAAAACTATGAGGCACCTTCTGCTAGTAAAGAAAGCTAACTGCAAGAGTAGAAGAACATGTAGATTTACCTAGTGATGCGTATGAGCCTGGGGGCAATGCTGCAGCAGAACTGAAGGGGGTGGATGCTCCAGAAGACGTCACTTTTGACTTGGCACTAGCTGCTGCATTCACATCGACGTCACTGCGGGATCGCTGCAGAGATCCTGGTGTTGACACAGATTTTGTACTTACTGTAGATGCTGCAGATGGGAGTGGGAGATCCAGAATAAAGAAGATTAATTTTTTGAGCTGTGTGCTTCAAAGAGCTTGACAAGCAGTTTAATGTACTATTTTTAATGCTCCGTGCTGGTACTGAAATACCTCAACTAAGAATGCTTTATCAGGGCAATGTGGGCTTCCCCACACTGCCTGCAAAGATATTTCAATGCTGACCTGATGCTACCTCTAAGAACTTTATCAGACACTAACATAAATGCTGAGATCAAAAAGGCTGCCAGGCCAGTAATAAAGAAATTTCTAACAGAACCTAGATGGGAAAGTTCAACCACAGTACCAGCCTGTGAGTTGCTGGCCAAAACAGACCTGCGGGTCCTTCAGTCCAGGTTCTACTAACTGTCTTCCCAACACCTCATCTTCTCATGAGGACAGCTGTTCCCATCACTTGTTGATGCTTACCCTCTAAAGCATGAAGCTTGTCTATTCAGCTGCAAGCAAACATGCATTTCTGTGCACGGTCAAGTAGGTTCCACACCAATATCTCCTTGAATCAAAGGTCTCAGTAGGGTGTACTGTATGCACAAACCAGCCAAAACCCGATCTTGGTCAGGTGTAGAAGGCAGCTTATCTTCTACCAACAAAGTTTTGTCTGTTATATTCTGTATTAAAATTTACTATTTACATTATTGTATGCATTTACTTAGGACAGGAAAGCCAAATATTCCATCTAATAGTAAAAACAGATTAGCAACAAGATGGAATTTAACCCTGTAGGACTTGTGTGCAGACAATGCCTCCAGTAAGTGCTGAAAACACAGAAAATAAATGACAGAAAATTGTAAAGCTGAATACACCATTAGGCTACGTAGCTGTACGTCTTAGCGTCAGCAGTAGTTTATTCCAGCTATTGAACAGCTAAACATACCTTGGCTACAATTTTCAAGGCTTTTTAGCCTTCCCTTCAGGTGCAAGCAATGACAGATTTACTAACTTTCAAAAGCATCATTGTATCAGCAGTTGATGCACAGAATGTGGTGTACAAGCCAAAACTAATTAAATATTTTACATAATAAGTTGCCATTTTAAGGAGCAGTAAACAGTGATCAGAGTTGTTCTTTGCATATTATAGTGTCTGAAATTTTCATTCTAATTCATCACACTTCCTTGGCAACACCTGAGTGCATTTTTCAGCTCCTGTTCTCACCTCTAGATGTAGTACTTCCAGTAGGACTTCTTTTGGCAGACAATGGACGGCTAGAAGTTAATATAAATATTTATTAAAACAAAACTGGTATTTCATGGTCATCAGTAATAGTGCTACTCTGTTCCCTCAGTACACAACTGAGTTAACAGGAAGTTATTTATATACAGGAATAAACTAACAAAGCTTATTGTTTAAGAATAAATACAGCACCACCACAAAATTCTTTACAAAAGCAATAAAAAAAAATTAGTATGCAGATTATTTGAACTAGAACAGATCTTTAAGAACACTTTTTATAGACTTAAAAAGTTACACCAATAAGTTATGGATATTTTTGATAGGTCTAACACTTAAATTGCAGACATTTGGTGCCTAAGTTGACTGCATTGCTAGAGAAGCTAAAATACATTCATTCAACAGAAGAGTTACATATTGATTTTACAGTTACAACTCAAATTTAATTTAGTCTTTTTTTTCTCTTATATGGAAAGAGGCAGACTTACACCTCCAGGATTAATGCTAAACACAGAATTTCAATCCAAGCATTGTTTTAAGCACACCTGGAAGGAATGGCTAACAGTATCTGCTGAGCACAAAAAGCTTCCTAGAAAATTATTTATGAAGTCAAGATAATGATTTTTTTTAAGCCAGTAATGGGGTTTGCTGGCCTTTTATTTTAATACAATGTTATTTAAAAAAAAAAAAAATTGGAGTAACTTAAGTGTTGAGGCCAAACGATGACCAGATGAGACAAAGCAATGTGATAGGTCCCTCCAATTCAATGGAGCTATCTGCAGTTGTTTAAATTGACTGATGTCAAAGGACTTACTTGAGACTCTCCTGGGAGCTGGAGGAGGAGCGATCTGACTGTGGCAAGGACACGATGCTGTCAGAGTTCTTCAAATGCGACTGCAGGGCCTTCTGGTAGGAAGACTCCAAGGTGTGGTACAAATGCTCTGCCTCTCTGCTGAAGTGACTGTGGAAACCCCAGTAACACCTGGAAGCAAGGCACAATACTGTGAACATTTTCTTGTCCTGTTTTAGGGGGCAGTGGAGCACAGGTACAGACAGAGCCCTTTTCACTACTGGCATTAGTGGGCTCATTAGCCCATTCATTTCAACCATGTACTGCCCCTATGACACATTTAAGACATGCCACTTTCTTCAACGCATTGTATTGCTCAAACAGCCGCACACAAGACAAACCAAATGAAAATAAGGAGAGGAACGCACCATTTGGTGCACTGTAAAAACACAAGTAGTCAAAAAAGCTTTATCACAGAAGAAACCCTCCATACACGCGAGACGGTAGACCCACTAAACTGATACTAGTTTGGGACTGGGTGCTCAATAGCTACTTCAAAAATATGCCAAAAGCAGAACACACACGTGTGGGCCTGATTCAGGAAAGCACCAGCTGGTGGTATTTTCTTCCTTAAGTTTAACAAACAGCTCTTCTACAATGCTGCAGAGACAAATCTTCTGTACTGAGTTGAGGCTGTTGACTGTCTTTTTGGGAAGAAATAACAAGGAAAAGGAAAGAGATGCTCCTATAGCCTTCCAATCAGTGCCATGCTGAAAATAAAAGAGCATTTTAAGATGAGGGAAGAATTCCTCTCTGGTCCAAATCTCCTGGCCGATGGCTAAACACCATTCACTCTCATCACAAAGGAGATGAAGGCTCTCAGCACTTTTCAGGGGGCAACTAATGGGCAGTTTAAGAGTAAGATTGTCAGCTCAAATGAATCAAGAATTGTTTGTGTGTGACAGCCAGTCCTCAGAGAAGTCACATGCATTCTCACATCACTAGAAGGAAACAAATTTCTGCCTTACAGTCAGCCAGACTGTTAATTAAGAAACATGGGAAGAGATAATTAAGCATGCTCTCTGAAGTCCCAGCCATTCTCCTTGCTGTCTATTCAGCTTAACTAGTCACCTGCTGTGACATCTCAGTGCCTACTGCATTTTTCATTGATGGACACGTTCCCTTTCAAACGGATTTAAACAGTCCTACTGTGAAACACCTCTGGTTATAACATAGCATTTAGATTAATAAAATTTATTGTTCATTGATTTCATGTTTTACAGCATCCTCTTTCTGAATAAAAATGTTCCTGTAGTGTTCTGTTCAGAAGATCTTAGTATATCAGCATACTACTATAAGTACAAACACATTAATGGAAAGAGATTTTCAACAGAAGAAAATTAATTACAAATATTAAAGTTTCCTATAGATACACACTAAGATATTATTTCAGTGTCATAAAATATTTCCTTAATTTAGGATACCATTTAGCAGCGTACTAGCACAAGGACTTTTGTTTCAAGAGTAGCAAATAACCCAGTCTTGCATACAGGCCAAAAAGAAAAGAAAAAAAATATATTATAAATAACAGTATTTTTGTACTAAACAGGAGAAATCTCAGTTAACTGCAAGCAACTCAAACACCAAAAAGAAAGACGAGGTTACTAGTTCTTGACTCTTGAACAACTCAAGTAAGCATTTTACTTGCTCAGACAGATAAAAAGACAATATAATATTACAAGAACAAAGTGAAAGAAGCACCGTTAGAAGATGTGATACATATATAACTCAGCCCTATGCGATCATCTCATATGACATCTCCTGCGGAAGCACACACACTCACTGAAGCCAAGGGAAAGGTGGCATCAACCGCCAGGAGAACATAACTTATCCGGACTTCAGTCTCCAGCATACAATACCATTGACTCACAAAACAATAGAGGCAAAGAAGGGGAGGAAGAAAAGACACCAACAACAGCTTCCACTTACTTTCTTGCCTCTATCCTGGCTTCAGAGTCTGCATCATGAATTCCCTTCTTTATTGTTTCAGCTAACACTGATATGTGTCTGAAATAAGAAGGGAAACATTATCCGGCAGTCCAGAAAGATGTGCCACACTTATAAACAAATGACTGATTTGATTTTGCCTTGGTCTCCAAGAACAAAGAGTTCATCGCATCCTCCCATTTCTATGTAATATCCTTTGGAGCCTTTATTTATTTACTCTTACAAGTCAGTTTTATTTCACCCACATTGCTGACTAGGAAAATGCAAGCAGCATTCTTCATAGGTCAGTCTTTAGTTAGCTGTTGAAACTGCCTGGGTAGTCTAGGGCTAAGGAAATTGTGTCCCAGTCTCTTCTCCCACAATTCCTTCCACCATTCATTAGTTTGAAGTACTGCAGAAGCCTCAGAAGCTCCTGATAGGTACCTAGTAGCCTTCACCTCATCATCCCACTTTAGGGTGCAAAAGGGGAGGGGGGGGAACCCAAAACTTATTGAGTTCAGGGATTCACTCAGCCCGGTTTTCCAGGGCTGGCATATGAGACAGACTCACCAAACTCTGACTGTCAGAACTATAGGGATGAAAGGTGTGTGTGCACATACGTATATGCTTTTTTTGTGGCAAAAATATCTCTACTAGAGCTACCTGATATAATCTCACCTCTTAGATTATCCTTTCTCCAGAATCAACCTCCCCAGACATAAGCAGGAGAGAATTAACCCACTTGTTTTCAGAGCTTACCTTTCTAGGGAGTGTGTTTGCCACTCCTGCAACAGCAAGTCTAAAAATTCGAAACAGCGCCTGAGAGAAGAAAGAGAAGAAATGCTGAGTTCTCTAAGTTAACAGAGGCTCACTGACTTTGCCATACCTGCCTCTGAACAACAGCCACCTTTTGTTATGAAGACTTTTGGGACATTGGAATTCAGTAACAGTCCCGATTTTAAGTGCAGAGGACCATTAGCACATCCAGTCCAACTTCCAGATGGCACTATCACAGAACACCACTGCTGCTGACTGCCTCAAAGAAAATGCATCCCTATAATGGCTAGTAGTGGGGAATAGGAATATGTCTGTAAAGAAGTCAAAATAATATGACATTATTATAATGACATGTAAGCACAAAGATTAGTTTAAAGAACATTTTTCTTTGAGGAAAAATGCCTTTTCTTCTCTGCAGTGCTGTGGCTTACACAAGATAGCTGACTGCATTTGATCCCAACTCATGGGGGAGAATGAGGTGCATTCTTCAGTAAGTGTGTATATCAACCCTTTTCATGAATAAAAACAAATACATGAACGTTATCAGAAAGTACATGTGAACCTATTTACCGGTAAAAAAGAGAATAAACTCAAACTAAATGCTCACCTTCTAACTGCAACAGATTTGGAGGTACAATTACTGGTTATGATGGGTATTAATCGAGGGATGTGCGTATGCTAGAAACAACAAAAACAGGAAGAAATCTTTACACCACAGTTCCATGGAATGAAAGGCCATTTCCTTCAGCCACCTGAGCCCAGTATGTAGGTATTTATTTTTCTTCAATTCTTAAAAATAGATCTGGTAAATAAAGGAACCCTAACAGATATGGACAGGTATTTTTATTATTAAAAATATTTTGTATTTTATCTGTTAAAATATCTTTATCAGGTATTTTATTTTCTTCTATAATGGCAGGCTCCAGTGAGTCAAGAAGCTGAAGTCCCTGCAGGAGGATCTAAACAGTCAGTGGTGACAACTTGAGAGATCTCAGGCGATCTGCAGCTTCCCCACTGAATCACTAGACAGAAGTCATCTCCATGACCTAATGGTTTTAGGAAACATACACTGGCTGTGAGGAGTTTTAGAGCATAATTAAGAGGATGAGTCTGTCCTGCAAGGCAGGTTTAAAACCCATTCAAAGAAAGAAGTTTGCTCACCTCTTAGAGGGATGGAAATATATTACTCTGCAAGAAACATATTTCCTACTATTTTGGCAGAGCTTAACAATCACCATCTACACAAGGCTGCATGACATCTGAGACAGCCAAGCCCAGCACAATCAGAAAAGTAGATTAGGCACTTAATCTAATTTTCATTGCAGTAACATTCATATTTTTTCAGAAACACCACAGTATTTGGAAGTGACAACATTTTGTTCTCTTTTGATGTATACTTACTCGAATGATTAATCTAACTGCTACGACACCAGAAGTGGCCATGACTTTGGCACTATTCGGAATTAGATTAAAAATTGTTGGCATGATGGCTTCTGCCCCATGGTCAAACTTGTTTCCCAGAACTGATGACAAATGTCTGAAACAGAATGAAGTCATGCTGGTAAGTGTGCTGAAGATTAAGCCAGTCAGACTTCTATAGAACATCTGACATAAGCACATCTGACATCTCACTCTTCCCAACTGTCACCTTCTCTCCAGCTCCAAAGAACAGAGAACACCATGTTTCAAAGAATAGTTCATTTACTTTCATTTCAAACTTGTGTTCTATATTCATCTGAACTCTGAGAAACAGTAAGTTCAGCGTAAAATAACTAGCACAGCTAAAAATTTATTATCAAATGAGATCATGCTGAAAGAATATATTTTTCTGAACTTGCTAGTTTCCATTAGTTTCTCTGAAACTGCCTATTTTGCCTTAATATGCACAAATTTCAAAAAAGCTGTTAGAAACACTGCAGCGCCCTTTTTCTTGAGGCATTTCACAAAGGATAAACCATCAAAAATGAAAACTAGCTCAATCCGAACCAGAACAAAACATATACATTTTCAGCTTTATTGTTCAATCCTTCCCTCCCTACTCGGTGCATGAATGCATGGCTTGCTCATTCATTCAGCATATCTCAAGTCAGCATCATTTAAAACTCAAGAACACAGTTTGGCCCCACTACAATTAGTGGCCTACATGGACCTGGTTTTAAACAGCTGTAGTAAAATCATGTTCTACTTATAACTGTGTAGTACTAGCAGCACGAGTTACATCCTAGATGTCTTTTAACCAGTGCCTGTTCCTTTTGTTTCTACATCACATTTCAAGTGCATTTAGAAAGTAAACTTACCCCAACGTGATACAAGCCTCTCGTACTACTTGAGACCGCAGGTCTTTAGCAGATAATTTAAACGCTCCATCCAAAAGTCTTAAATGTTGGAAGAAGTTATCATATTCTGCAGCTCCAGCCAAGAGTAAGGAGCGGATCTTTTTCAACTGTTAGCACCATAAAAGAAAGCAGTGACTGTTAATGAGCAATAAACACAAGGACAGTTACGTTCAGAGCTGGTACTTGGTTTCCAGGGTCCTTGTACAACTGTTCCTCAACATGCATTGAGGAACTCTATTCTTAAAGCCCAAGCATTTTCAACTCATAGCTTAACATAATAAGTACGATAATACAAACACCCTAGCTAACTGTTACAGGAATCCAGAAGTGTTGCATACAGCTACTCAAACTGTATTGTTAATAACCCAAACATTACTTTTTAAGCCAAAATATATCTTGAAGGTTCTCCTCTATTCCCATTAGAAACCACCTATTCAACAGCTTCTAAAGTTTAGGTCCTCTCACAGCTAACGGTTGCATTAAAAAGATGACTAGACTTGAAGGGCTTGGCGCATACTCAAACCTGAGTAATACTGACTTATATGCAGAATATGTCCATTGACTTCATTAAAATAATTATCTGGCTCTACCAGAAGTGGAACCCTGACTCCATCAAATTGGGAAGTATTAATATTATGGAGACCACCATTTCATCCTATAGACATCCTTTTGGACACTTTCAGAGGCCTTCATGTATACTGAGGCATCTGTACAGTGCCGATTTAAGCTCACTGTTACTCAGCACAGCAAACAAAAAAAAAAAAACTGAAGTAAGCTGAATCAGCACAGTTTGCCACTCAGATCCGTAATACAGGATTTGACAGATGTGTCAAAGTTGCTACATCAGTGATGAAACCCTACAGTGTGGACAAGATCATGCATCTATTTATACCATGAAAACACAGCTCACCTCAGTAAATAAAACTCAATCTTGGCATGCATATAACACATCTGATTTTCCACTTCCATGTTTCCCACAGTCATATTTATTTATTCAAAACCTAAGTGTGTAAATTCTTTCTGAGTTTTACACCTCCCATTGCAAAAGCATAAGTAAGTTCTCTATAAGCAAAGTGACTTTCTGCCTCATCAGGAAATTTTAAGATATTCTGAATACCACTTCTGACATTTTGATTTCAGCATCTGCTAGCAAATTTCTAACTTTACATCTGGATTTGCTGCATGATTTCCAGTTCAACTTGAAGCTGTCTCAACGAATTCTTGTATATCAAATAGCATTTTCCTTCATAGATGTGGTTTAAATTCAGTCTCATAAGGAAACATTTCTCCCAAGCTTAGGGGAACATAACAGATGTTCACCACCTAAACTACATTCTAGCCTTACTCTGAGGTTCTCCTAGTACCCTCTTCATGGGGTTAAGCTCAGTGCAGGAAAAGCTTATATTAATAGAGTTCATATCCAAGTTCACTACTTACCGCAGAAACTCTCTGTTCCCAGTCGTGCTTATCATCTGATAGTATCTCTCTTATTTTGTTTATGGATTCCTCAAGATCCCGGCTAGAATAAATCTGCGAATTTAAATACAAAGTAGCACTACAACGCAAGATTTACTCAAAAAAAATCAGATCACTTCCCAGCTACATTCTTACGTCCTTTGCTCCTCACTGCTTAAATGTCACATGCTAGCCTTGGACACAGCTAGCTTTGCATAATTCAAAGAATTTACACCCATTTCCTGCAATCAAAAATTACTAAATGACCACAAGATAATCAAAGGTTCATCTTTTATTATTTTACTTTATTTTCACAATTTTAAGCAGCAGTCGTGCAGCTGCTAGTGGTTATATTAGTGAAGACCTACAGAAGATCATGAGTGGATACATGTGCTCTTCAGCTGTCCCAAAAATAAAGCTCTGGTGAAGGAGAGGGGATACATGACACATCTCAACTATCCAGCTACATCTATCAGCAGACATGCACTGTCCAGTTGTCACACAACAGCAGCGATCCTGGCAACACAAGTCACCATTACTGCTTTCAGCTCCCAGATGGTACAGATGAAATGTAGAGAGGCTTCTGCTGACTTAAGTTTTTGTTTGACCAGACCGCACTGTGCAGCATGCGTGTCCAGTTCCAGCTCCACATCTGCACAGCAAACACCTCTATCACAACCCTCCCACCTCCACTGCCTCCACTTCTAAGGGTTTCACACAAACAACTGGCAGATAGCACCATTTAAAACTTGCCTCCTTCCAACTTCCAACTTCCCTTCCTCTTAAAGAAGATTTGCCAACATCACAATGAAGCACAATTTTCCAGGGATTAGGACTAGATCCTATATCTATCTTCTGCTTTTTAGTACTGTGTGGTTTAACGTGTAATTCTACCTACCTGAACCGTTGGGACATCTTCAAATGCCTTAATGAAGTCTTCTTCATCCACAGCACCTGCTCCCTCTTTGGCTGCTGACATACAAATGAAAAAGCCTTTTCAATCTTCTTATCAACAAGAGAATCAATTAAGAAATCACCAGCTATCAAGGCACCTAATCAGGAGAAAGTTCACTATCCATGAAGCCTCAAAGTGCTGCAGATGTAATGAAATCAGAGACAGGGAAATTCAATGCCAGGCACAGACTAGACATTCACAGCATCCTTCAACTCCTAGGCACAGAGGGCACATTAGGGAAGTCATTATAGTAGTTACTCAACAGTTAGGGGACACAGTCTGAAAGATGAAAGGGAATATTTACTTAAATTATACGGGAGATCTTATTTTAAAGGATTTAATCCTATCTATAATAGATGAAGGTGCAGATCTGACAGGTGCACAAACAGACAAATGATAAGGAAGATAAATAGTCTCTGGAATACTAATCAGATTAGAGATTGTCTGATATAGAGAACTGTCTCCATTTCTCTAGGTCACACGTAGAGTTATAATCACATGTAGAATTATTGCTCACATTCAGAATTACTGCTCAGTTTTCTTTCTGCACCTTCATTACCAGCAATGCCCAAAGGTCTTAGAAGAAAGCCAGCGTGTCAGTTTTAGATTGCATGGGCTGAAGTTCAGATTTTTTTTTTTGCAGTAAGCAGCCTGCCTCAGTTCAGCTAGAGTTGCAGCTATAAAGGCAAAAATCTACACACTGCAACATTGACCTGATTTACTCATAGCCCTCAGTGCACAATTGCACAGGTCCAACCTTTCAAAAATGCAAAACACGTTACAGGGATGTGGGGACTGCTTGGAAATTCATGCTACCAAAGTTCGGTCATAGCATGCAAACAACATACACGTAATTTCATAGGGAAAAATTTGTTACTAGATCCTGGGAGCCAGTCTGGAACTCCCTGCAATAAGCTCAAACATGAACACTATAAATACTTCGCATAAAGGTCAATTCATATACGCTATCAGCTTACTTGAAGACTTGGAGCCCAGAGCTGCAGACCCAAGTCTGCGGGTAGTCCCCATCCCAACTCTGCGCGAGTTTGCAGGGGCCTTTGAAGATGTAGAGGAGCTAGCTGAGGAAGGTCTGTTCCCATCCACGGAGTCTTCATCATCAAAAATTTTATCTGCCAAAAAAAGCACACTCAGCTGTAAGTCCCATGAAGCAAAGGGATGTCCCAAGCAACATGCCCACACAATGGCAAACATGCTGCATGTTCAGGTCTGCTCTGCCAGCTCTCATCTCAGCAGCATCTTCATGCTAGAAATCCGGTTATTCACGAATGACCACCAGGCTACCGAACCCAATCCTTTGCTATTGCGGCCACTATGTTATAAACCCTTCCAATGAATGCATCCAGATAAAAGGAATATACTTCAAATCTACAGCAGAAAGATGCAAGCCACAGATAATACTTGGCGTGTCTATAGTCTCTCTCTGATGTTTATGCCTCTGAGAACTATTTTGCCATGGGCTGTAGTGAAACCAATACTGTGAGCAAATCCAGGACCTAAGTGTGGTGGGGATCAGGCAGCACAGGCCGCCGTGTCAACACCCCGCCAACTGGCTGCACCAGATCAAGAATAAACAGGGTAACCCAGGCAAGATCTCATGGCAAGACTCACGCTGTTGATAAACCACAGAGCCACCCAGAGCTACAAACCCACTTCAACTTTTTAAATGATCACCAGAGATTCTTTATGAAGAAATAGAAAAAGTTGCCTCAAATTAATAAAAACCATAAATATAAGGTGTATTAAAACTGACTGAACCCTCTGTGTACATCCAAAGGGAACTGCAGCCTCTACTTCCAAGTGTGAACATAAATTAACTTAAAATGAATTACAGTCACTTTGATTCTCAGTAAAGGTCACTTCAATTCCAAAGCAGTGCTTATATTGCAGTTTTACACAGATTAGCTAATCCACTTTAAAAACCGGCCTTAAGTTGAAAGGTGACAAAGTGTTTGGACAGCTGATATAGATGACGCGCATTATTTATTGAGGCCAGAAAAGCCACCTCAGTCCCCATCACTTAGCTTTTCCACACTAACACTTCATTCAGGATTTGAGACCTGCTTTCTGTCCATCCCCCTCCAACAGTCCAAGGTACGCACCCACGCTCTACTGTTTCAGGAACATTTCCTTTGTGAAATTTCACTTGGCAAAAACTCAAGCAGGTGCTTTAATCCATCCCTATTCAGGAAAGCATCTGGGAATATCTAGTAACAAATACAGGCTCCTAGTTAAACACTAATGAATGAAATTCAATACAGGTTGAGCTTTCTGAAAGTAAGAAAATTAATCGATAACAATAAAGACATATTCTAGGGGAGGTAAAAGAACAAAAAGAAAAGCCTGTACTGTCCTCAGCCCAACCACCTTAAGGAGTTTTCCCTGCCCAAAGCGATATTGGCTTATTAGCAGCTGGGCACAGGAGAACTGTCACAAACCATCTAAAAACCTAAAAACCACATTTCCAATATCCACCTGTGCACACGATGCCATACTCCTATCACAGCACAACATGAAATGACAGGTAGACAGCAGCATCCAAAAAGTTAAGAAAGGTGGCCATGGACATCTCTCCCCTTAATTTTGACGTTCAAGAAGTCTTGGAATCTGGGAAATGGCTAGGAAAAAAAAAAGTAACATCTGAAGGAAAGGGGCAATATAATAACAGGTACTTGGACTGTTGTTCAGGCAAAAGTGAACAAGACATAAGTGAACATATGAACTTTAACATCAAGAAATTTAAGGTCACACAGCTAAGGAGAAGAACATAAGCCACAGTTAGGATGTGGGCGCTCTCTAACACAGTGCCCCAAGGTGGCCAGGGAGACCATGCTACCTCCCTGTTGACACTGGTCATGTTCTGACATACATAATTCAAAAATAATTTGAAAAGAGCTCAGGGAAGGACCATGAGAACGATTAAGGGATTGGAAAATATGTTTTTAATTAAATTAAATGAAAATTCACTGTAGGGGACTGTTTAGCCTGGCCAGATTCTTAACAAGTTGCTTGATTATGTTCTGTGTTAACACAGCAACTCAAGATTTATTAACATAGTTTTCCAGTGTGATTTATTAATATTGTTTCTCACCTAGTAGAAAAATATACAACAAGGCCACTGGCTGGAGGTTAAAAACAAATTAAATTCTGAATTGCCTTTTTTTCCTCGCTTCCCCCCCCTCCCCTCCATTTTTTGCAACAACCACAGGACTGGCTCCCTACAAGGTTAGGAGGTGTGTCACCCAGCAAATTCTACCACAGGCAGTTATTAAAAAGCAAGGTTGATTTTTTTTTTCCCCTGAAAGATACAGTCTAGTTCAAACAGGAATTATTTCAAACACATAATTTGGTGAGAGTTGCACAGCAGGTCATGGCAGATCAAAATAGACTTTAAAATGTGTAATCTCTGAAGCCTATAGGAAGGGGTTCAAGTGATGCAGACAGACTTGCACAGACCTTGGATACAAAAATTTCTGAGCAAAATTTGCCCCAATTGCATTTATTTCAAAAGCTCATCTATAGCTGTTAAGCAAATGATTATTTGCCATATATATATTACCAGACAAGAGAAAGTCAGTCATACTCAAAACAAAAGATACTTTACCACTTCAAAACCATTTTCATCTGGTAATAAAATTCTCCATCGGCTGCATTTCAGGCTATCTAGACGCAGTCTTAGTTAACTCACTTCTTGTATCTGCATTTTAAAGCCTCACCGCTCTGAAAGAAGAGGGTGTGGTTTGCTATTTCATATAATAAATAAAAATTCAGAAAAACAGCTATTAAAAAGATCGCACTTCTGTAGCATTTTAGCAATTAAATAAACTATTATTTTCATTTAAAACATGCTTTTCTGAGCATTAGCTGAAAAAAACAACACTCCAAAAATCCAGCCAGCCCGCCCACAGTTTTGGGGATGTTTGGATTACAATCACATCTTCCTGTTCATTAAGTCTGCAAACTAAGCATTACATATTTATCAAATCAGAATATCCCATCCCTTCAATAACCCAACAGCATTTTCTCATCTGAGTAGTTCAGAATGACAGCGCCACATTCAGAACTGCACATCAAGTCTTCCAGCAGCACGTGTGCAGGACAGAAAGAGAAACAAAGAACAGAAAGAAACCTGAACATGGAAGTACAGAAAATAAGAGAAAAACAAGCTACTATACATTATCATTAAAAAGCCTTTTTTTCCCCCATTTGTTGACTCTTGTTCACAATAATCATTTGAACTAGGATCATATTTTTTACAGCCTATCTGCAAATCACGAGGTAGTAAATTCAGCATGGGTGTAACTCTCATGACTCCAGCAGAGATGCACCGAAGCGGAATCGGTGCCACGTTCTCACATTAAATAACCATTGATGTCCTCCCATCCCAAGCCCCCCCCAGCGCTCAGTTATAAGGGCCATATAGCACTCTCCGTCCGAGACATGCCCTTATAAAAGAGGCCTTTGTCTCCTCACCACTCTGCTGTCTTACAGAAACAGAGAACACAATTTGCTTTACATTTTTCAATTCCTTTACATTATTTAAGAAGAAAAAAAAATTGCTTACAAGTACATATCCTTCTGCAAATAAGCTTCCTCAACATTCCTTCATATTTTCCATAGCGCGCCCAGATGTAACAGTGCTTCACAGAGCGCCGCGGCTTTCAGTCCAGAACATAATCAATCATTGCCCCTCGTATTCATTAAGCATGCTGTCTTCACACGTGGATTTAAACAGCTATGGCTTCAGTCCTCTCTCTATGACTGCGGCTCTGCGGGATTCTCATCAACACCCATTTCAGCCCAGGAAACTTCAGTTCACTTCTAGGAAGGAAATTCCCTGGTAGTGAGGGGAAACTGGGACAAATAATCCAGGAGGAAGGCGAGCTGAGTCTGCCTGGCTGGGCTGGCTTGCACTAGGAACCAGCCTGACTTTATCCCCTGGGAAGCGCTAACAGGAGCATCTCAACAGCTGTCATCATTTGTCCATGATGAATAAATTTAGTCATTATTCATTTTAAAACGTAACCCCTTCAGGTCTGGGCAAGGTGTAAAACGGGGAGAAAGAGACTGTGCTGTTGTTCAGGAACCACAGTAAACAAGGGCCAGCACCTTCCCTGCCTGAACCACCAGCCTGGGACCTTTTAAAGCAAAGTAATTGAGTCTCAAATTTCCTTTCCAATGAAAGGAAATACTTTCTGGCTTTTAAAAAACTCTAAGATGTCAGACTCAAATCTTTTAGTTATTTATCTGCAAGTTTTAGAGAAGAGAGCTAGTAGTCACTCTGTAGTGACTAGAGTGTGAAAAGCAGCTTACGATCATGTCTGTTCCTAACGAAGATGCCCCGCTATGGTCTTTAGGCCTGACTCTGCAAGGTCCTAAACCCGCTCTGGCCCCGCTGTGCCCATTTATCATGCCCCATGTCCAAGCATCAGTGCTGCTGAAGCGGGCAAGCAACTTGCAAGAATTTCCTTTTACAGGACACCACCTTCCCTCCCTTCAGTTGTACATGTAAATTTAAGCGGTTAAATCTCTAGTTTGACATCTAAGTAGACTGAAGCACCACGACCAGAAGGAGGAATCTATAGATGCTCTGCCTGCTCCAGAGGTACTCCTTTTTGCCAGATGCAACCCAATGTGCACTGGCCAGTGTTTTTCAGACAGACACCCCTTGGACACCTCAGACCGTGCCCTCCCCCAGGGGCAGCGTCTGGCACCCCCACCTCCCATCGGACCCTCTCTGTGGGTGCACCACCAGCCTCCAAACGTGACAGCTTCAGCTGAGGTTAAATGCTTCTTCCCATTAGCACACACCAACCCACGTATGGCCTAGCTGCAAGCCTGCTCAGCTCCAACATTTACAGGTATTGTATAGGTTTCTCCAGAAAAACAAGTTTATGAACTCGCTAAAGGGACACATATATGCTCCTCAGCAGGACTAAATGTTTAAAAACAAAGGCGTCACGGTCATGAGCAGCAGTACGCAGGCACAGCACATCATTACGGTTTCTCGCTTGGCCATCTCCCACAGTTTCCCAGCTGCTCTCTCCTCCTGGCCCCAGCCGTGGCCCCTCCTTCCCCACCCTCCACACCAGGCACAGTATTTTGAGCCTTT